TGAAACAGATCATGGAACTAAATGTAAACGCTGAAAGCACACGCTTTCCAGGAGAAAACTGCCACAACTGTGGGATAGGCAAGACTTTCTTAGACATGACACCACAGGTACAAATCATACAAGAAAAAAATGTGATAAAAACCATCAAAATTTAAAACTTCTGTTCTTCAAAGACAATGCTAAGAAAATGAAATACAAGCCACAAACAGGAAGAAAATATTTGCAAAGCACTCCTGTGATGGACTCGTATCCGGAATACACGGAACTCTAAAAAATAACAAGAAAACAACCCAATTAAAAGGGCAAAGGATTTGAACAATTTACCAAAGAAGGAATAGAGCAGCCACTAAGCCCATGAAAAGTCCTCAACGCCGCTCTTCACGGACACGTAATCAAAACCACAGTGAGACAGCGCACACCTATGGCAGTAGAAACGTTAACTAGAGAATAAAAACTCAGAGCTCAGGGCCGGGCAGGATACAAACACCTGCTGCTCTCACCCGCTGCTGGAGAGAAGGCGGACTGGGCGGCCACCTGGAGACACGGTTGGGTAGTTTCTAATGAAAGTAAACACACACCCTACAGTGGGCCCAGCAACCTCACTCCCACGTATTTATCTCAGAGTAAGAAACAGAAACATTCTCCACATAAAGACCTATCCAAGAATGCGTACGGTGACTTTATTCATAATTCCTGAGGATTAGACACAATCCAGCCAGTGGATCAGGCCACTGAGGTGCGTCTGTATGATGGAAACCCACGGGCAGTGGGAGGGGGCGACCTGGCTCACAGCCACACAGCGCAGGACCAGCGCGGTGGCAGAGGGCACGATCCCTCCAGGGTTTGACTCACGTGGCCTCCTGGAAAAGGCAAAATGGTGGGAACAGGCCCCAGAGCAGTGGCTGCCAGGGGCTGCGGGCCAGGGTAGGAAATCCACCCCGAAGGAGTGTTCTGGGCTGTGGGAACGTATCTCAGCTGTGGTGATATCTACACACCTGCATACGCTGCTGAAGGCTACACCTAAACACTGAACTTCACCTTATGTCAGTTGCAGACCACCTGATTTATACACAAAGGATGGAGGTCTCAGCAGGGCGTGGTGGCTCCTGCCTGTAATCCCAGCACTTTGGGAGGCCAAGGCGGGCGGATCATGAGGGCAGGAGATCCAGACCATCCTGGCTAACACGGTGAAACCCCGTCTCTACTAAAAATACAAACAATTAGCCGGGCGTGGTTGCAGGCGCCTGTAATTCCAGCTACTGGGGAGGCTGAGGCAGGAGAATGGCGTGAACCCGGGAGGCGGAGCTTGCAGTGAGCTGAGATCGCGCCGCTCACTCCAGCCTGGGCCACAGAGCGAGACTCCCTCTCAAAAAAAGAAGAAGAAGAAAGGAACGGAGGTCTCACTGCACCCCCACCCCATTGGGAAGCCTCAGAGAGGCTCTAGGGGCTGGAGGGGCAAATGGAGGGGGACGTGGGGCTACCAGAGCCGCCCCGAGGAAGGCGGAGGCCTAGCGGGAAGAGGAGGGAGGCCCAGGATGGGGGGCGGAGACCCCGATGCTCCTGACTGACAGCAGTGAGCCAGGCCCGGGGCATTTCCCGGTTCTCGCATCTGCTGGGAGCCACAGTTTCTGGTCTGTGCTCCGTGGTGCAGCGCCCGGCAGCCGAGCCCAGGCAGAGGCCGCCTCCCTGCGCCTGGAAGCCTGAAGGCACCTGCGCCCCGGTGTCCCGCAGGCCGCGGCCCTGCGGCTGGGAGCCCGGCTTGACTGACAGTTGCCACCGGCAGCAGCGCTGTGGGCCGCGGACCGGGGACAGAGAAGGCCGGTCACGCCGCCCAGGGCCGGCCCACGCCGGACACTTCTTCCCTCTGCTCCTGCTGACCCTGGGAGGCTTCCGACCTGCAGGAGCCGACTGCAGCCGGCGGAGGGGTGGGGTGGGCGGGGCAGGGCTGAGGGCGGGGCTTCATTTCCCCGAGTCTCCCGGGCGGCTTCTGCTGCCTTTATCGGTTTGAGTCGCCACCGCCCTCCCCCTCCAGGCTAAAGATGCCCTCCCGGCCCCAACCCACACCCCCGACCCCATAGGAGCGCGTCCCCACCTGCCAGTGCACCCCTCACTCCTGGACCTGAACTTGCAACTGAGCACAGCTGTGGCCGCCCCAAGGAAACTCGCTGGCAGGTGGGGTTTCCTCAGGGCGTGGGCAGCTGCTAGAAACAAGAGAACCAGGAGAACCACGCAGCCAGGAAGCCAGTGGCCACCGCGCACTTCCACCCAGAAGCGCATTCCCCAGAACCTGGTGTTTCATGCCCAGTAACAACATAACTACCATCATAACGATAAATCGTTACCGGAGATCCAGCCATCCATCCATTTTCATGGCTGTAAACGCCATGGTGAAACATCTAAGTCCAGTCACCATAACCGTAAAGCCAGGAAGAACTGCTAGCAGATGACGTCAACAGAACGATTAATAAACATCTTATTTGGTTATTTTCAGAGCACATAACTCTGGAACTAACTTGATCAGTTTCTCTTATTAAAATGTGCAAAAAAATTTTTAAATTTCTTTTTCCTTAGGGTTATCACTCAAAAAATGTCTCATACACCTTCGAGAATGAATCAAGTCCCTGTGGATTCTCGCACATAAACTGAGCTGGTGATGAGGCCTGACACGTGGTGCCCAGCACAGGCTGAGCCCCGCCAGATACACCATTAGCCTCGGCTGAATAATCTGGATTCCACATCTCCCTTTCTTCCGGGAAAGCCCTTGGAGGCCCCTGGCAGTTGCTGAGAACACGGGAGCGAGACACGGGCATGCAGGACTATGGGCTCTGGGAAGTTCCGTCCGGTGGACACAGCACAACAGGCAGAAGAACCACAACCAACGAGGGTGGCAGGGGAGGCAGGCCACGGAGGGCAGCTGCAGGGTCAGAGGCCGTCTCCTGCAGCAGGCCCCAGTCCTGGAGGCGGGCATGGCAGGATGTGGGGATGCAGGAGGAGGTGCCTGAGGAGCGGGGTGCAGAGCAGCTGCACCTGGAGGCAGGAGGGAGAACTTCCAGCCACTAGCCCTGGAGCCGATGCCCCGGTCAGAGGGAGAGAGGAAGAGGAAACCCTTCTTCAGCGCCCAAACAGCTTGAACGCGACTCGAAGCTATGGGCGTGAACCTGACGGCCTCCCAGGCAGACACTGAGCAGTGGGGTGCAGGGGTCATGCTGGACCCTCAAGACCATCTCACCAACAACGCTACACGAGGCCCAGCACAGCAAGACCCTGAAGGGGGCCAGGTGCCCACCGCACTCAGGAGCACAAACACCTTCTGCAATCGCATTTCAGGGCCAGGGTGTCTGCTGCGGAAGCACCCAGCACAGCGTTCCTGCTCAAAATGAAGTCAAATGTCAATTATCTGAGATCCATGCGACCCATTCCATGTATTTTCTAAACAAACTCTGGAGACTTCTATGAAAAGCACAGCAGTTTCTAAGAATAATCATTTGGGTACAGCGAATAACAGTCCCAAAAATGTCCAGGTCCTGACCCATGCAATGGTGAGGGGGCACAGTCCTTATCAATGCCAGGTGAGGGTCCGCCCAGCCCCAAGGGCCTCTGGGGTCACAGCTGCCACCCAGCCAAGCCCATCTCAACGCCAGGCAGAGCGCGAGACCGGTCAGGATGGGCGTCTCTCTCCTTGTCTCTGTCAGGGGACTTGCCGTGGAGGCCCGGGACACAGCAGAGTGCAGACAGGAGTCTACCAGTTACCCGCTAGCCAGTTTCTCTCATGCCCTCTCTCTCCCTCAACGTCGTGCAGACATGCACTAGCTGCCGGCCGCCCAGTGGGGACAGGCTGGGTTTTAGGACACTCAAGCTCTGAGGTGGACCTTTGGCTGTGCCTCTCACGCTTCTGTGTGCCAAGCACCGGGAATGGATCAGATCATAGCTCCTGGTCCACAGCTCACAAACAGAGGGACACGGACGATGAGGAAAGCCCACAGCTGAGGGACACCGGTGAGCGCTGGGGAAAGGGGGCAGGTGGCGTGGGACGGAGAGGCCATGACGCGGTATGGGGAGCCAGTGTGAGCAGTGAGCGTCAGATGGACGCGCCCCCCACCCCCCCACGCACCCTCGTGGCCTCGCTGGCCTCCTGCACCCGCGGACCCTCAGGCTGCCTGGGGCAGAGCTTGGGGTCCCCCTGGGGGACTCCTCCTCCCGCCCTATCCCACTCAGCATTCCGGCAGCCATGGAGACGAGGAGCCTGCACCACCCGGGGTCTGGGCTCAGGCTGTGGCGGCCAGTACACACTGGCTCCCCGGCCACCCGTCCCGGGCGTGAGCTCAGGTGCTGCAGGACCCTCCTCCCTTCCTGGCTCTCCCGGCGTCACGACGGGAATTAGCCTGATACCCCAGCCTCCCACACCTGCTGCGTGAGGTCCGCTCCTGATGGGGTCCTCTGGCTGCATTTAGGAACAAGGAGCTCCCGGAGTAACCTGAAGTCCACTCTGCCAAGAGGCCCCACAACTTACAGAATGCTGCCTTCCTGCGATCCCCGGCAGGGCTGCCCATGAGCTTTCTCCAAGAAAACCGGGGGAAACTGAGACCACACGCCCCCACCCCCACCCGCCCGTCCCGTGCCCACACTGTGGGGACTGAAGTTAGGACAGGGACAGCCAGGATGTGGTGAGGAGGGAGGGCCCCATGTCCACGCAAAGGTCCCCGCGTGGATGCCCCGGGGAGAAGCCCTGGGAAGTTGTCTGAAGAGGGTCGGGGACGCTGTGCTCTCGCCTTGAGGGGCCACGGAAGCCTCGACTGGCAGCGCTTACTGACCTGAGCCTGGCATGATACTCCAGCAGGGACCACAGACGCCAGGCCAGATCCCGAGAGCGGATCAGGAGGAACATCCAGGGCTGCCGTGACCCCTCAGCACCATCCCGCCAGGCTCCGGGCTGAAATGCTAATACTCCCCTGGCACAGAACAGGCGGAAAAGGGGAAGTAAACGCTCATTCATCACCTACCTATGATGGAATCCCTCCGGAAAACGTCTCTATCGAAAATGTAGAAGGACAGGTGACGAAAGCTCCGAGGAATTTCACAGTAAAAGTCTTCTCCGTAAAAGGGGCTGGAGAGAAAGAAAAGCACCAGTTAGAACACGAGCCACGCTCCCGCCTCAGCCCCAGGGGCACACACGTGTGCTTAGTTTTAAACGTGCCATGGGAACGCCCTGCACTGCGTGGCACGTGGGAGACATGAACCTGCAGCTCCCTGTGGAGTGTCGTGGCCGCTCCCCGGCCTCCACCTCGAGCCTTTGCACTGCACGGATGAACTGTAACTGGGCTGCCTGGCGGTCCAGGACGCTGAGAGACCTCCACAGAGACCATGGTCACTGCCCGAATGACTTCCATGGTATGTGCTCAGGTCTAGTCCAGCCTCAGGGACACTGTGAGGTTTTGAAGGTACCTGGTTTGGGGCAGGTGGTAGCTCCCTTCATGGATTGAATGTAAAACACAGCACTCCAGTGCCTTGCCCGGTTCCTTTTATCCAGAGATCCAGTACAAAGTCCTGACTGCCCAGCCGTCCTCACTCCTGGGGGAGGCCCCCGCGGCTGACTATGCTTACAGAGTACACGGCTCAGGCTGCCCACGCGTGAGTCACCTGGAGATGCAGCCGCCCCACAGATGGAGACTTCAAATAACTGCAACCCCAATAAAGAAGCAGAAGCCAACGGGCTTTGCCATTCAGCAAACCCCCCTGCTGTCCTGGGCCGGCACAGGTGGGGTTAGGTTCCTCCCCGTGCCGGACCTGTTGGCGATTACTATGGCGCACGCACAGCTACCACCAACTCAGAACTCAACACAAGCCCACTTTCACACACATTTATGCTAAGGTCCAAAATAGGAAAGATGTAAGTTATTCAAGGAGGAACCATTCTGATACAGAGCAAAGGAAGGTCAACGGTGCTGGGCCAGGTGATCGTCCACACAGTCACCAATGGCGCAGGCCCCACCCCAGCCACACGCAGAAATGAGCTCAGACCCCGCACCCATGTGTAAGGGTGTAAGGGTTGGAGCTCCCAGCCTCTGAGAAGAAAACGGGGATGAACCTGCACCCAAAGATGCCTTAGATCTGTCACCCAAAGCACAAGTGCCAAAAGAAAAATAAATGGAAAATCAGACTTCCATCAAA